TTTTGGAGACAGGGTTTCTCTGTGGCTTTGGAGCCTGTCCTGGAACTAGCTTTGTAGACCAGGCTGGCCTCGAACTCACAGAGATCCGCCTGCCTCTGCCTCCCGAGTGCTGGGATTAAAGGCGTGCGCCACCACCGCCCGGCCCCAATAGTCCCCCTGAATGTGGTTGTCAGTAGCATGGCTGGGGCAGACAGAGGGGCCACTGGCAGTGGCACCAGGATTTTTCCCTACTGCTTGTACTGGCTTTTTGGGATCCTATTTTCTTTGGATGGGATTGCTCAGCCTAGATATAGTAGGGAGGGCCTTGGACCTTCCCCAAAGCCATGTGCCTTACCCTTTCTGAAGAGTGGATGGGGTGGGGGTGGAGGGAATAGGGAAAGGGAGGGAGTGGGAACTTGGATTGGTATGCACAATGAAAAAAGATAGCTTGTTTTCTTTTTTAAAAAATTATAAAAATAAATCTATTTACAATAAAAGAAAAATATTCAAAATCAAAAAAAGAAAGTGGCTTAAAACATATGTGAAAAAAAGCTTGGTGGTGGTGCTGCACACCTTTAATGCCAGCACTCAGGTAGCAGAGGCAGGAGGATCTCTGTGAGTTTGAGGACAGCCTGGTCTACAGAGCAAGTTCCAGGACAGCCAGGGCTACACAGAGAAACCCTGTCTTGAAATATGTGTGTGTGTGTGTGTGTGTGTGTGTAAATATGAAAACTGTTTCAGATTTCTTTCTCTATGCTATTGTTATATTGAGACATCAAAAGTTCAGAATCTTAACTCTTATCCATGGAATTCTGGTAAGCTATTAATCTAGTTCTAGTAAGCACTGACAACTACTACCATCGTCACAAGTTCAAATATGTAAATCTCCTTTGATTATCTTCTTAGTAAAGACTTAAAAGTGCCTCTCATTGTGCTACAAACATCTGTCTAATCTATATGAACCAGTCTTCTGGACAGAGGAAAGAGTGTTCATGCTTTTACCCAGAATCCTTTTGGGTCCCCAAGCTTCTATAGGCAAAGGTGTGAGCCTGCTGCCTTCCCAAATGTGGATTTCAGTACAGATTACAAACAATGGCAATGCTAAATATCTAAAACTTACCTCTTCTTGTAAGCTTTAAAAAGTCTTGCAAGAGCCGGGCGATGGTGGCGCACGCCTTTAATCCCAGCACTCGGGAGGCAGAGGTAGGCGGATCTCTGTGAGTTCGAGACCAGCCTGGTCTAGAGAGCTAGTTCCAGGACAGGCTCCAAAGCCACAGAGAAACCCTGTCTCGAAAAACCAAAAAAAAAAAAAAAAAAAAAGTCTTGCAAGTTTCAGGGAATCGACATGCATCCACCCGTCGAGGGCCAAATGGACTCTGGATAAGTACTGCTGTCAATCAACAGCTGACCTTTTCCTGCCTACTGCCTCTTCCTGAGGGTGGGAGCTCCCATTTGCCCTGGTCTTGGGACTCCACTTCCCCAACTACAAGGACAATAGACCGACAAGTGTCAAAAATACACCCAAGAAATGATTTGCTCCTAAACTGCTTGATTTCACCTTCTGCTCCTAATACATACGTGACACCTGCTAGCTGCAGGTGTTCCCTCAAAACCTTGAACAGCTTCACAGTGACGAGCCCCAGGCGGTCAGACCTCAAAGACTGCTTCCGCTAGGCCTACACCTTCCAAGCCAGCAGAGCCTGGACAGTGGGTGAAACAGGCTGCCCTTCCAGGCCTTCGCCAGCATCCCAGCTGTCTTAAGTTCCCAAAGATGTTGATGCCCCCAGAATCAACAGGAAGCAGTCTAAAGGGCATGGTGCCCCCATTCCTGCCTCGCTATAACCCCTTCCTATTTGGTCACCTTTAATAATGAATGAGAGGATGGAATGTTCACCCCAGCTCACCTTCGGCGACTCACCATGTCATCACCAGATCCCAAATGTGACAGGATTCTCCTTTAAATGTCCCCACCATCACAGCTCACTCACTGTCTCTCGTCTCTCTGTGTACCTGTCTCTAGCTTTCTCCGTCTCTCTCCCATGTCCCCTTCCAAGGTGGCCTTTTGACACCCTCTCTCCCAATAAACCTCGTACATGAGATCTGTTGCAGGTGTGATCTCTCTGCAGCAAACCTTGGACCCTTCCCACAAAGATACACGTCCACCACTAAATCCTAATAACCTGAGATTGGGATTCATGCTTACATGGTTCTGGAGGTGTGTGGCTCCCAAGCTCTGTGTCTTCCTTCTTGGCTTTCTGGCCCAGCTACAGGCTCCAGAAACCCAATAGTCTTTTCATTGTGGAGATATGCCCCTGAACCTAGTGTGGGCCCTGGAACCAGGGCTGACCTTCCTCTCTCAGAGACACAGTTGTCAGAAATCACAGACTGATGTTAATCTCAAAGTCCTGTGGGAGTTTTCTAAAGATCTGTGAATGGCAGGGCTTTAGCTGCTTTGGCTGCTGCCCTGCAAGGTCCATCATAACCCTGTGTACAAAAACAATCCTCAGAACCAAACCACTGCCATCTTAGGGAGCCCCGCTGGGCTTGTGCTCATCAGATCACCACAGCTGGGCTTGCCCATGATGGACGCTCACCTGAGTACCCAGATCCTCCCTAACACCTGCTGTGTGTGATTCTGCCCTAACTGCATGTGGCCTGGGGAACACTAAGGTGTATAGGCTGGGGTCGGGGTGGCTGTGTGTATGTGGGGGTCTGTGAAGCTTCCAGAAGGCCTTGTCACTGTTGGGTAAAGACTTCCCAGTTTGGCCTTTGAAAGTAAGTTCCCCTTTTTCTACACTCAATAAGGAAGCCCAAGAGATTCACTGGTTCCTGGAGTGACCTGTGGGTTTGTGCCTCAGTTAGTTCTTGGGATCTAGGAGGAGGGATACACATTGCTCCCATCCCCCACTCTCCAGACAGGTTTAGCCACAGCTGAGAGGGAGAAGTGAGCTCTGCATCTCCCAGTGCTCAAGACTCCTTGCACATCTTCAGCTAGGATGTAGCCTCAGGAACTGGCAGGTGACCTGCGACCTACTCAGGACAATCTCTAGACTCACTGCCCACCCCCAGGTCCCCATGATGCCCCCACATCCCCAGGTTTACCCAGATTAAGGCAGCTCACAGTGTGTTCTCCAGCTCTCTGAGCATTTAAAGGTTATATGCACAGAGTAACAATGCCCAGGTGACATAATGTGGCTTGGAGAAGTAGCCTCACCACTTTCAGCCTCAGTTTCCCCCTCCATAAAGCTGGCAATAATCCCTCCCTCAGGAACCGTGAGGGTCGAGGGAGTTGGTGCAGGTTTAACCAGGTCATGTCCATTGCTTCTTAGCATTTTCTCCTGGATAGAGGTGGGCAGTCCTTGGGCTTCCCACAGGTCAGGGAACCCTGATTGCTCTTCGAGCAGATGAGGGAGGGGGACTTGATCGGGGGAGGGGGAGGGAAATGGGAAGCGGTTGTGGGGACGAGGCAGAAATCCTTAATAAATAAATAAATTTAAAAAATAAAAAAAAGTTACTGTCTTTAGACAAATACATTGGTATAGATTCTTGTATATTGATACAAAGTTAAATTATATTGACTATTGTACGCATGCATGTTTCTACCTCTGTTTAAAACATTTTTATGTATTGACATATATTGTATTGATATATATATATAGTATATATTTACCATATTGCAGTGTACATTTCTACCTCTGATTAAGATACTTATATAATGTTTGTGTATTGATATATATTTACCTACTGCAATGTATATTTGTACATTGTTTATTTTTGGAGGTCATTGTCCTCATTTGTTTCACAGTAGTTTATTTTCTTAGTCTTTAAGTTAGATAGATATTGAGAATTATAGATTAATAGTCATCTAAGTTTGTCATTTATAATTAGACTAATCAGGTTCTTTAGATATATAGAGATTATACTCAGTATAGATAGATAATCTTCAACTTCTTCAAAGAGCTGTAGAAAATGGCCTTTAATCTAACTCAGAGTTTTGTGGTAGTGAGACACAATTGCTCCTGGCAACACCACTCTATTCCCGAGAGAATGTTGAGCACCAAAGACACTCGACCTGGAGCCTTCTTTTTGGCAGAACTGGCCTTGGGGCAAAGAAATGCCCATACCTCAACGACTAACAAAGATACAGAGCGTGCATCAATGGATAAAACAGGGCTGTCATATCCTGCCAAGACAGGGTAAGATAGTTTTGAAAAGTTGCTTGCCTTTGAAAATGGTATGTCAGTTATGTTAGGCCTTAGCCAAAGTTGGTTGCTTCAATGCTGCTAATGTGATTTTGGGTGATTGCCCAGGTAGCCAGTTGTCTCTGTGATTTGTTGCATGTTTTGGAAGTTGTTTTACTAAACTTCCTAATTACCCAGGTAACATTATTTCCCTTCTCAGATCTTTGATGGGGTTGAAGACTATATAAATGTAGTTACTTTCTCTCATGACTTGGCCAAGTTATTTATTATACAAGACCTAAGCAAGTTAGAATAGGATATTTGTACATATTGTATATAATTTCATAGTAGGTTTAGAACTCTCTTATTTAAACAAAAGGGGGAGGTGTTGCGGGAGGTCCTCCCACTCCTCCAGCCTATCGCTGCTGAGGTACCAGCCCATTGGGCGTGGTTTCTCTCCCTTTAAAAAAGCGGCCACTTCCCTCTCCTTTCTCTCTTCACTTCCTGCTCCGCCTGCGACTAGACTCCTTTCCTGGTTGCGTAGAGGGCTGTTGCCTGGGACAGTGATCTGTAAGTTTTTTCCCCTTTAAATAAATACCACCCTAATAATCATAACCCCGAAAAAAAAAAAGAGAGCATGGGAGCAATCAGGCCACCCTGTGCGCTGCTGGCGGGCTCTTACCCTGGAAGCTTTACTTGGCACCTTGATGCCTCAGTTTTCCCACACAGTGGCTTGCTAAAGCAACATCTGTGCTATCTATCAGAAGACCAAGCAGGTGACCATCTTGGGGTGACCCACCTCTCACCATGGCGATCCTTAACGCCCTTGCTCTCTGTGACCCTGGGGCTCCCTGCTTCCATAGGGCAGTGTCCAGGGACCCCAGAGCGTCCCGCACTGCTGCTGTGAACTCAGGGATGGTTGCAGGTTGTGGGCCACCAGTTTGTCCAGAGCACTGGCTGGTGACTGGTACAGGTCCATGTTGACCTGTGTCCCCAGGAGAGTTTCGTTTCTCCCTCAGCTTCTTGGGGCGTGCCCTGAAATAATAGACAGGGCTGTCATTTCCTCCTCCTCCCCTATTTCCTCTCCTTCCAGCAGCTCAGGGCATTGCTGAGATTACCAGTTCATGGCTATGCTTTTGCCTCAGTGTGATTTCTGAACCCCTGGGCAGCCCAGAAAACCTAGGGACCAGGCTCTCTGAATTAGCAAAAGTTTCCTGAACTCTTTCCCAGGGGCCTGGCACAAACTGCCCACAGAGCACCTCAGAACTAGGCATGTGATACCACCACCTGGCTGAGCAGTAATTTCTGTTGCATTCAGATTTCTGCAAGGCCAAGGTGGGCATGGGACTCAGCTGGAAGAGTGCTTGTCCAGAGCCTAACAGCCAGTGTCAAACTCTGACCCCCACATAAGCTCACTTGCATGCACACGCACACACACATGCATGTGTGTGCACATACACGAGATTCTAGAACTGAGTGCATGTTTTGTACAGTCCACTCATTTATCAGACAGGCGAGGAAACCATGACCCACAAATTTGTTGACAGGAAGGGCTTAGACCACCACCCTCCTAGCCTGATGTTTAACACATTGGAAAACCCATCTCTTCCTTCCCTTGTGCTCTGAAACCTTCTAGCTATCAGACTCACATTGAGATTCTTAAAGAAAGCCAGCTGAGTGGACTATCCTCCCTCTTCCTTTTGAGACAGTGTTTCTGTGTAGCCTGGGATGCTTTGGACTCCTAATCCTTGGTTCTCCGCCTTCCGAATTCTGGAATTACAAGCATGTATCAGGACACCTGGCTGCTGCTCTGTTGTGGAATATTTTTTTTAAGATGCGTTACTCTTGTTTATATTGCATTTGTTTAACTCTGTGAAGTTATGTCGTTTGCCAGTCTAAAACACCTGATGATCTAATAAAGAGCTAAACGATCAACAGCGAAGCAGGAGAGAGAAGTTGGCAGGACTGGCAGGTAGAAAGGAGAAATATAAGGAGAAATCTGGAAAGAAAAAAAAGATCTAGGAGCAAGGAGAGGAAGAGTCAGAGGCCGGCCACCCAGCCAGGCACGGAGAAGAGTGAAAGTCAGATATACAGAAGTAAGAAAAGAAAAAAGTTCAGAAGCAAAAGGTAGTCGGGGTAATTTAAGTTAACAAAAGTTGGCAAGAAATAAGCCAAATTAACTAAGAATAAGATACTCCATGTGTGTTATTTATTTGGGAGCTGGGTGGCACCTCCACCCCTCCAAAAATAGTCTAAAGCTAAAAAGCCAAAAAGGTAAAACCTCCAACAACACCGTTCCTTGTTATTATTTTTTAATGTTCTTTCCCTGGTAAAAAGAAGCCAGCTCATCCTGCTTCCAATGGAAGGAGTCCCTACAGAACTAAAGTCCTCAGCCTGAACTCAATTCTCAGTCCTGAAAACAGCTATTTTAATTCAATGCAGATTCTCTAAGACTTTAAGGTGGCAAGGGGACAGATGGGACATGTGGGCACATCCCTCATGCTGTTTAAATGAACCCACAAAGTTGTGCAAGACCAGGATATTGCACACATACCTAAACACATGTTAGGGCAAAAGGCAACAAGAGTCCTCCAGTCCCTGACATTAAAACAGGCTCACCAACATAAGAGATCGTCCTGCCTCTGCCTCCCGAATGCTGGGATTAGAGGCATGTTCCAGGCCCTGTCCAAGAATTTAAGCTCCAAAACAAATTTAAAAAAACAAAAAAACAAAAAAAAAAAACCTCTCTCTTCTTCAACTCATTGGAAGGCAAAGGAAAGAAGAGGCACAGGATGATGGCTTCTGTGGGACAGTTTCACTTCCTGCTGTAAAAGCCCGTATCACCTTGACTGTTGCAATCTTACGTAGAAAAAGGTGAGTGTGTCCCCGTGGTTACAGTAAGCACTTTTGCTTTCAAAGCTGAACTCAGGAAACCTGCAGAGGCTGTAGAGAAATGTCTTCATTTCAGCTAACGTTGACCCATGAATGAACAGAAAGCGACACCCACAATCATGCCAACCAGACAGCAATGAAAGGAATGGTGCGGGAGAAATGCCTTCTTCTGGCAAAACCAGGCTTCAGTTATGAACCACGGAGCAGGCACTTCCAGGTCAACGAGTCCATCTCTGCCCTGACTGGAAAGGAATCTACTTTAGTTTCCAGGTCAACGAGTCCATCTCTGCCCGACTGGAAAGGAATCTACTTTAATTACCTGCGTGTCGTCTCATCATCGTCTTCCAGAAACAACACTGTTCCATCTTTCTGTCCTTAAAGTCATCAGCAGTCTTACCCATCTGCGAACCCTACCAATATGGACTGGCCTGGCAAGATACACCCATGGGTGCAACAGTGGCATGGATGTTATGGGGGTCACTGGCCACACTCTGACTGGATTTGAGGGCCACGCCACGAGAGGAAACTCCAACCTGGTTCTACAAATCTGGTCGAGAACCCTTGGCTGAGAGCTCAAAGGCCCCAGGGATGAACCTACTGGAGCTATCCTGACAAATGGACACAGTACCAGGCTGCCCTCTGCATCTCTGTTCCTGTGGATGGGTGCAGCTCTCTGACGTCAGCAGAGAGGTCTCTCTGTGTGGTGGATGGTGGTTATACAGAGTTACAACTGAAGCAGGGAACAGGGTCTGTGGAGTGCTCAGCCACAAGTGGGACATCTGTATTGCACCCCCTCCTCTCACGGCTCAGGGGACATAGAGGAAGAGGGGATGGAAAGATCAGAAGGTGGGAGAAGACCGGGGCGGATCAGAGTCTCCTGGACACAGCAGGACAGCTGCCACTGTGAAGTCACACAGCTGTGGTCGCCTGCACAAGGTCAAGAGGGTCAATGTTCTAGCCTGAGTGGGAGGGGCGCTCACACACCCTCTCCCTTGGTGAGGGGCCATTGGCAGTGGTGGCCATTAGTGCACAGAGAGTGTCGTGGGGATCCTATCGCTGGGATGAAACACAGTGACCAAGAGCAACTTGGGGAGGAAAGGGTTAATTTCACTCACAGTTCCCAGCCACTGTTCATCACCAAAGGCAGTCAGAGCAGGAACTCACACAGGGCAGCAACCTGGAGGCAGGAGCTGATGCAGAGGCCATGGAGGGTGCTGCTTCCTGGTTACAGTCCACTATGATGGAGGCATTTCTTCAATTGAAGATCCTACCTCACAGACAACTAGCTTGTGTCAACTTGGCATTAACCCAACCAAGACAGAATTAATTTTCCTTAGAAGTGTGATTGCTGGCAAACTGCCCACATTCCAGTGGATGGTCTCACACCCACGTGTACATGAGAAGCATTAACTGGGTTCACTGGTTTAGTCACTAAAGTGACATGAAGTTATGAGGGGAGTTGCGGGGACCATGACCTGTGTGGGACTAAGGGGAGGGTGAATTTGATTTTTAAAAAAGTACATTGGATGTGTATTATGAAAATTTCAAAACTATTTTTCAAAATGCACAGGGATTCTTAATTCAATTATGTTTTTCACCATCCAAGAGGCACAAGTCACCTCCTGCAGAGCTGGTCAGTTTCTTCCAAGGGGCTCGTGAGGAATAGCAGTGTGTGCCCTGCAGCGGCTGCACATGTGGCCAAGAGGGTTAACCCTTGTGACCTGTGCACTCCCTGGTTCAGTCAGGCTCAGTGCGTTGGCCTCATTGGCTGAGTGATATGTCATATCTCTTTGACACACACAGGAGGGCATGGAAGTGGTATAGATGAGCTGGGCATTGTGGCACACTATAATCCCAGCATTCAGGGGACTGAGGCAGGAGGATTGCTGTGAGTTGAAGGATAGCCTGGCCTATTTGACTATGAGACCCCATTCAACAACTAAAAGTGTCACTGAGATGGTTCAGAGGATGCAGGGGTTTGTTGCCAAGTCTGATGGCCTGAGTTTGTTCCTGGGACCCACATGGTGGCAGGAGAGAGAGCCGACTCTTGGAAGTTGTCCCCTGGCCCCACATGTTGACACACATGAAATAAAGGCAATAAAATATTTTAAAGTATAATTAGTTTGGCGTTCACCCAGATCTGCTCAGCACCCTCAGCTGGTCTCTTGCCGTCCCCTCCTAGCCCTTATGTGAAGGGTCTTCATCATCGCATCCCTCAGGCAAGGTCAGTGTCGTTGTTAGGGTTTCTATTGCTGTGAGAGACACCATGACCACAGCAACTCCTATAAAGGAAAACATCTAATTGGGGTGGCTTGCTTGCACTTCATAGGGTTAATCCATTATCATTGTGGGGAGCATGGTGGCATGCAAGCCAACAAGGTGCTGGCTCCATCTTCTTCAGAAGGCTACAGGAAGTGGACTGTAACTCTGTGTTGTATGATGAGCATGTGAGACGTCAAATCCCACCTCCCCAGTGACACCCTTTCTCCAACAATGCGTACCTCATAATAGTGCCACTTCCTATGAAATCATGGGGACAATACATTCAAACTACCCGAGTCAGGGTAAACCAAGGGGCCTCCATTACCTACCAGGCCATGAAGACTGTACTTTTTGCTAAAGGAAGGCTTCTGACATGAATGATGCAGCCATGGCTTCCTGCTTCTTCAAAAATAAAATTCTTTAAAGCCATCGAGGACTTGTGGCCATGACTGCTGACAAAGTCATGGTGGTGGTTATTTCCTCTGTCCTCCATTTCTTGCTCTCTGCAGAGATTCTAGCAGTGATTCAGGGTGTGTGTATGTGTGTGTATGTATGTATGTGTGTATGTGTGTGTGTGTATGTATGTGTGTGTATGTGTGTATGTGTGTGTATGTGTGTATGTGTGTGTGTATGTATGTGTGTGTGTATGCGCATGCATACTTGTTTTTCGAGGCAGGGTCTCATCTTCTGTGTCAGACTCCCAGAACTTGGGATAACAAGTATGGATCTCCTTGCCATGATGAACATCCACAACTTCTGGGAAGGGAGTGTTAAGGGAGTGTTAAGGATGGAGACAGGCTAGTTACTCATAGTGATCAATTTGTC